CATAGATCCTATATATCGACGCCTCCGATCCATAGTATGCTAAGTCGACTTAGCATGTTTTAAAGTTCTTTACGTTTTTCGATACTACGGTCCTTAATTTAAATTCTCTGAAATGTTGGTAATCATCGGCCAATCCAAACCAAAGTATATATATTTGGCACGTAAGATATAAGAAACTTCCGTACTTTGAGAGCTTCTAAAAAACTTACTTTTCACACTTAGCATACTAAATATGAGTTTTATGTAAATGGTGCACCAAAGTCCCATATGTCTTTCGATTTGGACGAAATTTGACATAGCGTACTGAACTGAGTTGGGAATGTTGCATGCAAAGTTTCATGCAAATCGGCTCAGGTTTAGATATAGCTCCCATATATATTTTCGTCCGATTTTATGTAAATGGAGTCCCAATGTCCGTATATATATACATAGCATACTAAATTGAGTCTAGAATGACCGTATATATTTTCTTCCGATTTAATGTAAATGGTGCACTAAAGACCCAAAACTAGGCCTATTGACACAACATGTATAGGCATGTGTAGGGGTTTCTGAATGGCATGTGTAAGAGTTTATGTCAGTCAGTTCACATATAAATGAAGATCACATATTTAAGTTCGTTAAATTTCATGTTAAAGTTCCTTCGAAAATGCGACTTCTGTTATGATATATAGATAAAATATACCCAAAGTGGTGAAGGATATCTTATAGTCGGTCCAGTCCGACTATAATACTTTCCTTACTGGTTTAATTTTCATACCTGACAAACAATTTGTGGTGAAGGGTATACCAAATTCGGCTTAAAAGCTGTCAATGCCTTCCTGAGATACCATTTTCATGTTTCTGGATAATAATTGTGTCCTATAGATCTATTTGATAAAATTATTGTGTTTCGTTCATTCGTGCCGAACCGGTATTTAATTCAAAATTTAGGAACACAAATATAGATATTGGAGTAGTACTTCATGGTAATACAATGACTTTGGTCAAAATAAGCATATACTACTGTTACAAAATGATATATTTATCAAAGTTAACCAAATTGCACATATATCCTCGTATTTATATTTGCTCCTAAGGGACATTCCCTTTACTATATGTTCATTTATATATATGTAGTTATATAAATATTATATTTTTCGACTGTGTTCTATTTATTGACTTCTAGTTTCATTATTGTATCGCCTTCATTTAGTTTCTTGTCGACATTTTGTTGTCTTCCGATTAGAAAATTCTATAAGTTTTCATTTCATTATTGTAACTATCCACAACAACAGCTAAAACAGAAACTTCTGCACATTCTACTGTCCTTTGAGAACGAAAGGAGAAACGCTCATTGGAGCTGTTATTGTCGTCAATTACTTTTGTGGCCAGATTTTTGGGGTTTTCAAGTTTATTTCGGGGAACATGTTGTGGTGTTCCATATCCAACAAAAACAAAAAAAAAACTATGTCATTCTATTGGAATACTTGTATGATGACATTGAGAGTGGGTGCACATTGTTGTTGTCCTGGCTTAGTAAGGCCATAGAGCTGCTGTGTGTCTAGAACATAAAGAAGAACGCCAACACAACAAGACCCACAAAAAGAAGAAAAGAATCAAGTCATAGACAAGTATTCAACTTTGGTTTTTGGCAGCAACTTTTTATTTCCATTTAAGAAATTTATACTCAAAACAATTCAATATTTCATGTACTCAATTCTGTTTTGTTTTCGTTGTTGTTGTTACAGCTAAATTGTCCTGTCTTGTTCTAAGTATGAACAAGTAGATAGACAGACAGACAGGCAATTGTTTTTAAAAAGTTTTATTGTAATGCTAGATAGCAAATATAAACTTAAAGACATTGACTTTAAATTGTTGAGTACAGCATCGGCTGATGTTGCTGTTGTATTTAAAAATGTAAAGCTTATAAGTGAAATTAATTGGAAATAATATGATTAAATTCTGTAATTAATGTCTTGGCAATTGCCGGCACAAGAAGAATTTTAATCGTGAATTAATGATCAGATTTAAAAGGATAATTGCCAAGGTGTCTGTAATAGTATTAAAGCCCATTATACGACAATTAAACTGGTCTTACTGAGATGGTATTAATCATTTCTAAGACGTCTGCTAGTAGCTGGATTTGTTGCTAGCCTTTGGCTATGAAATTATATCGGCAAGTCTGAGTGCAATAAGGACACACCTTAGGGTAATGAAAAGTAAATTGTATATAATAGAAATATTCAATCAGAATTAAGTGTGTTAAATAAATAAATACAAAAGTACGAGTAGACGTTTACACAATGACAAAGTGACATATGGAATATATGTAGGTATATATACACGACTCAATATATTTCTTCATGGTTATTATATATAATAAAACAAGAAAATATTCCCCCTTTTATTTATTTCATCACAAAACTTCACAAAAAAGTTTAAATTTTGTAACAAAAGTCCTACAAAAAACACGCAAATATTTGTTGATATCTATGAGCATGACAGCCGTGCTGCGAGAAACAAAACAAAAACAACAACTACAAGAAAGGAGATATTCTGGTGCATTTCCTGAATTAACATTATTACAATAAACGTGTTGTGTGTTGCGTGGCGTAAAAGTACGCTTTTCTTATATTTCACTTCCTTTTTAGCGTTGTAATTCAATTTTTGGGCAAAGAGTCCTTCTCAACCACAAGGAGCTTCTTACCGCACACACACACACACACATAGACACACAAATATAAGCACGTCTTTTACGAAATGTGTTTTTTAACTTTGTTGTTATTCTTGTATATGGAAAGCGCATCTGTAAGAAATTGCCAGACGTATTTTAAGTCTGTATCTCTGCGTGCATGGCTGTCTGTGTGTACATTTTTTGGATGAAGACTGCATGGTTGTTGTTGCTGTTTTTCCCGGATTAATCTTCAAAATGAGTTAGCTTTACATTATGAGAATGCATTTCTTTACTGCCACGCTTGAATGGCTGCTTCACGAGGCATTGAAATGTGGTTTTGCTACTGAAAAGCATGTTTTAAGTATTTACATTGTCAAGAAACAGACTGAATGAAGATAATTAGTAAACATAGTTGCATTTTCTTAAATAAACATGGATACAAAAATAAGAAGTAATTATTCCCTATCCAGCATAATGTGGTATGTTGATTTTGGAAAAAGGGGAAATAAATATTTAAAAACGATGTATTTTTGGGGATGTGAAAGGAAGCATTTTTTGTGTAAGTTCCCTTAGTAACAAATTCAAGAATTGTTGAATATTTTTATGTATTCAAATTGCTATTAATTTTAATTTAATAATAGAACAAAATTGTTTATTAATTCCATCTTCCATCATGTGTAACATCAAAAGACGTAGATAATGGAATTGTTTGTCTTAATTAGAACAATTGGTTCATGAAATAAATAAGTATCAAATGATTACGATTCTGCAAGGATCGAAAATGGCGGTCAATTTTTATACCCTTCACCACACTGTGGTACAGGGTATTATGTCTTTGTACATATGTTTGTAACAAGCAAAGCGAAACGTGATAGACACATGGTTCCTTTGAGAATATGGATAGAATTACTTTCTGAGTCCATATATCGACTGTCCGTCTGTCCAAGTTAAATTGTAAACAAAGTGAAGGCCGAATTTATGATTCGATTTGGATGAGATTAGACATATATTAACCCAAGGACGAACCCTATTGAAATTGGGAAAAATCGGTTCAGATTTAGATATAGCTCTCATATATTTTCGTCCGATTCCATGTAAATGGTGCACGAAAGTCCCCATATATCCTTCGATGTGCAAGAAATTTGGTACTGAGTTAAGTCTAGAATCGGTTCAGATTTAGACATAGCTCCCATTTTTATTTTCGTCCGATTTAATGTAAATGGTGTACCAAAGTCCCTATATATTTTTCGATTTACACGAAATTTACCATAGGGAACTGAATTAAATACAAACAATGATATACAATTTTATTAGCTTTTTTATCTCTATCTGAAATGGACTATTTCCTCAAAAAAAAAAAAAAAAATGGGTTTCTGGCCCATAGTGCATTGTCTTAATTCCTGATACTTTTTTCACCGAAACTAAAAAGGAATACTACAAAGAAGCAATATTAGACAACAAAAAACATTTCTAACTGGAATTTCATTTAGTCTCTTTCGGGCATTTAAGAAAAACAAATCCATACTTTCAAAGAAATTAATGTTGTCATTGTTCATTAGACAAATGTCCTCGGAACATATCTCTCCAGTCATGTGATGTGATTTATTGATTAATACGAATGCAATTCTTTGTGTTGTCTGGGAAATAATTTCATTTCCTTTGACTACGAAGTGTTTGTGGTTTAATCAATGTTCAATTTTAAGCAATTCCCATTAGTCATTCTGCTCATACCCAGACCAGATGAGAGCAGGCCAGGCCAGGCCAGCTTTGCATTTGCATGTAAATTTATTTGTTTGACCTTTTCCCTGAAGAGTAATTACACAAGGGTCTTGGCAAATTCAATTGTCAAGTTCCCAAATAACATCACTTACATTGCAAATGAATGTTTGTTAGATGATGACTTTTCTGCTTCTTTGACGTTGTTGCCGGCATCATCATCTTTGTTAATGTGTATAGATCTTTATTTCCATTTCCCATAAGCTGGGCAAGTGCTCGGGTGGCAGGGTTACATTTGGGAGTATGCAATTTAATTTAAAAACCAATTCTATAAAGAGTTATACTACAATGGTGTGTTTGGGTGTGTGTGTGAAAGTGTGATTGTGAACTTGTGTATTGCATTTTTATTAACATCTTCTACTGTGTTGTGGTTGTTGTTGTTGTTGGGGGATGGGTCAAGAATAGTGCATTATGGCATTAGCATCTTGAATGATAATAAAACCAATTACCAAAAATAATCACAAATTCCAGTAAACGAATTTCACTTTTTCCAGTAGTTGCAGCAGTTCATTGTCAGTTTTTTTATAATATTGTATTGTTGTTGTTTGTTGTTATTCTTTCTTTGCAGTTACCCCATAGTATTGCGGGCGAAGAGTTGGCCTTCGTTTTTGGAGCACCACTGGCATCAGCTGGCCTTTTCCATGGTATTCACTACACGCCTCAAGAGAAACTATTGGCCGAGGCTGTTATGTCGTATTGGTGCAATTTCGCCAAGACTGGGTAAGTTTGTGCGGATATTAAATGTTCAGCAACGACAACAACAAATGATGTAATAACAATGAATAAAAACATTATTACATCAACAAGATACAGTGGCGCCAATAGGGACAACAGTGTACAAAATGGTCTGAGAAATTTTTGTTATTAAATGACCTCTACTACAATCTGCATAAGATACACAGCCTTAAAAATTTTACCATGTAGGTCCTGATAGTGGCAACAGCCCTAACATTGAGAACCTTTTAAATTTTTCTATTTAAAAATATAGGATTACCACTGTTCAAAATATCTCTAACATTTTAAAGAAGATTTCTATTATCGCCGTTGCCGTGGCAATAGTTAAGTGTTACTAGAACTGCAACGAACGACAGTAAGTAGTGCCACGTTATGGCGTTGCTTGTTATTATCATTATTATTGTTATTATTATTATGGACAACAAACAGTTGTTGTGATTTTCATACTAGCTATCCTAAGCATGAAAATAACAACAACTGAAAAAAGTTCATATCTTTAAACCACTTCAAAGTGGCAAAAGAATCTAGAAGCTACATTTACTACAAGCCAACAAAAATGAAAAAAATACAGGAAATTCACGGGATATTCCACAACAGACTAAGAATCTGCATGGTATTTCTTTTAACTCGGTTATATGGCCAATAGCTGGATACATTTTATTTTTGGTTTGACAGTGGCAGTGACACTGGCATTCCCCAAAAAATTTAAGCATCTTTTGTAATAGTTTCAAATAGAAATTGAAATTTTATTTCTATCACTTTAGTTTGTTTTCTTCCCCCTAACTTTTTCGTTTCCTCCTAACATCTAAGGTTATTTCGAGTTACAGGGGCACCACACAAAAAAAATTGTTGGCCATTTGATTTCAAGTTTATCGTTATACTTGTGCACTTATTTAGTTTCCTTTACTGGTGGATATTGTAATAAAATGCCATAACACTTTTTCAACTTAAAAAGCATTATTGGATTATTTTCTCTTTATTGCAAACAAAATTATCATCATTTCTAATCTGCTTGCTCTTTGGCTTCTCTTTTCTATTATTTGTTTGTCCCCCACCCGAAGGAATCCGAAGGCGCCATGGAAGGAGAGTTTCATAAATTTACATGCACTGGAATGGGATCGCTACGATTTAGAATGGCCACAGTTTAATAAACGTTCACAGGCATACATGAATATTGGTAAGTGAATGCAATGGCAATTTAAAATTTTTTATAGGAAGAATATTTAGCTACTTTATTAAAGAGGAGAATATTGGAAAAACGTCAGCAATCTGAAAAATTGTTATTAAAAAAATAATGGTAGAATAAATAAAAGCTTTATGATGATTATTTTTTATAAAGATCTACTATTATAAGTAATGTGTATTAGTTTTCCCATCAATTGATTTGTATTTGGAAATTCGACTATTTACACCTTCAACTTTTAAAATTTCATTTTTCCCTTAACAAACTCCTTACAATAACTAAACTTCACCACAATTTTAGTTTATAAAATTTAAACCGAAAGAAAAAACACACAATCAACTATCTGTTCAAACAATTGCTAAATTCAATTTATTCAATTTTCTCCTCTAAAATAAAGCTAACTCGGCACAATCCGTTATGAATAATGCTAAACAGGCATCTTTATGGATAGTTTTTACATTATTTTATGCCATACTTTATAATATTGAAAATCAATTTTTATTCAATTTTTTTTTCAAAATGTGCATGCATTTTCTCCTCTCTTTCTCTTGCAAACACCCCACCACCACCACCAATGGATTGCAATCAACCAACCGGCCATCATCATCATCACGACTGCAACTATCTACATCATCAACAGGAATACCACCATCTATCGGTTATAAATATCGACAAGTCTACATGCATTTTTGGAATAAAGAATTGCCCGATGAACTCAATCAAATTGCACACATCCAACAACAGCCATTTTTGGAGGCCAACTATGCAAACACAATGCCATCACTAACACCACTGCCACCTGCAGGAACCACGGCAATTTACCCCAAACATTATGGTGTAAGTGGTGCTGGTGGTGGTGCTGGCGGTGTTGTCGGCAGTGAAGTAATAACCGGTCATATGAATAAATTTGGAGCACGTGATAATGGCGCAGAAGATCCGGTCCGAACGCTGAAGGTGCTAATGCAAGAACCAAATTCGTATCAACGCCACAAGCCAGCATCAGAGACGGCTGAAAATATGTATAATGCACCGCCCTCCACAACGTATGTGGGCAAGGTGAGGCACCGTCCCATCACAGCGGAGGAAGGCGGCGAGTCACGTAATTATGAGTTGAATTACAATGGCGGTTATGGTTTTGTGGCCCGTGCACCCACCACCACTTCGGCAACAATTTACGGCATACGCCACTATGATACGAGCGGGCAGGGTGCAGCTGTGCCGGGCAGAGCCAGTGATAATTTTGAGCAAACTCAATTTAGTCATCCCTACACGGGCATCAGTGGCAATTACGTAAATGAAGATAATAAAGCCGTCGATGGCACGGTGGACGAAGAAGACAGCCAAGAGCATGTGGCCAAATCGGAAACAACACTGCAGCTACTGATAGGCCTGATTATCATTTTCATAATATTGAATGTCGTCATCTATTCGACAATTTTAATGCAAAAGAAGAAGAAGACCCAGACAATGCAGCGCAAGTTGGGCACGGGCATCCTCACGGCATACGATGGCACCAACGACGATGACTTGAAGCGCTCTAAGCCCAGTACCCATCAGGACGATGGTGACAGCTATATTATGGATGCTGTGCGAAAATCGAATACCTATGAAGCCGTAAAAACCGAGAGATCCTCAATGAATGGCTTTAAAATGACACGGCAATTAAGTTGCTCGACAGTGGACACACACACCAAGGTGAGCGAATGGATGGGTCAAAATAAGGTGGCATTGCCACGAAGGACCAGCAGCAACAAAGACTCCAAGAAATCGTCCTCATTTTCCTCGATAGGAGGAGGAAGTGGCTCATTTGGCAAACATCCGCTCAAGGTTAGTGTGGCAATTGATGCCACCTCTGAGACTCGAGGCAGCAGTGTCATGGAACAGGAACCCATTGAGGTGACTAAGAGCAAGGCTAACCGAATAATATGTCAGGAAGTGGAAGTAGAAGATCAAGAACTGTTAACTCCCCAAGATTCGCTCGATAACAGCCGCTACACCTTGATGCGCCAACACTCCGCCGTTACGGAGACCTGTGACAGCGAGCTTATTCAGCCCATGCACTCGCACTCAAGGTCGGACCCAGTTGATATGTATTATCGCCTGGACCCCGAACAAGAGGAAAAGGTTACCAGTTTCATGCAAGCCGATACCGGAAATGATCTGGACATCAATGTCACCAGCAAAGATGACAATGATGAATGGCCCCACGAAAGCCTAACACTAGAACAGCAAGTCGATGTCATTAAACGACGGAAATATCCAAAAGTGTTGCCCACATTTATGCAACGAGACCGTGAGACGGAATCTCCACCCATGACCAAGGATTTGTCTACCACATACAAACGGAATTCTTTGCCACCCAACTCCTTTTTCCTACACCACACACAACTGCAGCAACTAAAACAGCAACCTCCCTTACCACCACCTCGTACTGTGGCCACATTGGGAAGGAAACCATCGCCTGGACGTAGAAATAGCAACAACATTACCACTTCACCAGTCATGCTAGCCCAAGACTGTACCGAAGAGGAAGAAGAACCGAAAATAACTCAAAACACTTTGATTGTGGGTTCATTGAAACCCACCGAGGGCTACTATTCCACGCTTAAGCGGAAGAACAAGCCTCCGCAAATAGAGACCAATACAAGTAATTTCCAACAAAAGCAATCAGTATTTCAATCATTTGAGTCATCGCCCATCTACGAGACACCTGAACGAGAAGTGACAGCACATCTGACACAGAAAGTCTATAACATACAAGCACCCGCAACTAATCAACAACAACAGCAGCAGCAGCAACATCATCCGTCATGTTATGCCTCCGAACCAAGTACACCAGTGACAACTACGTCATGCAGCTCGCCCGTTTATGCCCAACCCAAAAAGTCACACATACCAAGGATAATCGGAGCAGCAGCAACATTGGCGGCCACCACCAGCCAAATACATTCCACAATAGCACAGACAGCCACATCAGCAGCAGCAGTACCCACGTCGCCCACTACACCGTCATCCTCATCAGCATCGGCCGCATTATCAGCATCAACTAAAGCTGGTGCTACAGAAACAGATACTACTAATTGCTGTCAAGTTACACCAATGCAACTGGATGACAATCAAGTGTCATCCAAGGAAACTTTACAAACACCTGATGTAGCGGAAATGGCAACAGTAACAACAGCCACACAGCCAGCCACCGGTGATATATCAACAGAAGAACAACCGACCATGTCACAATCACGTATACCACAATTACATAGAAATGCAAATGTACCGCCCCTGCACCATCAGCATCCACCTCAGCACCAGCATTACCCACAGTATCAGTACCAGCACCAGCAACCAAATCAGCACAAACAGCTTATCAATAAGGATAAAACAAATGCAAATATAATACCCCAGGCAACAAACATATTGACATCAATTCCAAACAAAACTTGGGCTCCCAACGTGCAGGCTTCGCAGGCGAAGGATTCTACAAGTTCTTCTTCGGGTGTTGCGATGACAAAGACAAGTGCTACGGATGAAGCTGTCAGAGTCTACGACGATGTCAAAGTCTTATCGTCGTATCCATCGAACAGGAAACCTGCATCTGTAACATCGTCATGTTCGTCATCGTCGGCATCATCGATGCAATCAGATTCAGCCACATCATCAACGTCTTCATCGACGGGCACAGTGCGCACTGAACTGCAACAGATGCAACAGCAGCATCAACACCAATACCACTAATCATCAATGGAGTCAAGTGATGACAAAGTGACTCTTGCACATCATCACTTTTCTACATACACACACACACAACGATGTGTGTTATGTACAGTTTATATGTTTTCTTTTATTTTTTTCCTTTACTTTTTTTTGTAAATATGAAAATATGATTTCCTTACTCACATTCATGTTCATTCATGCATTCATATTTCATTTTTATTAATAATCCTATTTTGTTGCTTATCGTAAAGGAAAATATTTTTACAATGAAATAGTATTAATGAAAAAAAGGAACAACACTAAAATTTAAAATAAAGAATTAAATTTATATATTTATAATTATTTAATAAGATTTACACATACATGTTTGAGAATTTGGTTGTTGCTGATGGAAGGTAGTATGAGAGTAAAATTGTGGGTTAAATAAATTCGAAATACTAAATGCTGCTTATATATATTTGGGATATTCCTGGCAGCGGTGGTACAAATTTACATCAATTATGATTAAGTTGTTACACCCTTCACCAGCGACGTAGCCAGAAGGGGGGCCCTGGGGCCCGGGAAATTTTTTCAGAATAAATTTATGTTTGCAACAGCCAATTTTTTTTATTCTGTACTAGTACACATTTTCGGCATTTTGGGGTTCTTGAGCTAGTTTTTCAAGCACATTCGCTGAAACTTGCTACATTGAGTTCTTATTGGGTACCAAATTTCTCTATTAAAAATTATAAATATAGGGGTTTTGAAGGGTTTTGGCCGCATTTTTCGACCGAATTGGATCTAGTTTAGTACTTTAAGTTCTTATTTTTCAGCAAATGTCCCCACTAATTAATATAAATATATGTCAATTTTTATGGGGTTCTTGAGCGCGTTTTACAACCGAATTCGTTCAAATTTGGTACATTGGGTACTAAATTACTCCACAAAAAAATATAAAAATATGTCAACTTTTTCTGGTAGCTCCTATAAAACGGTACCCCCAAATATTCGGTATATTGGTGGTTTCGACCGTATTTATATTCCAAATGCCTAAAATCTGCAGTTAAAAGGACTTTATAAAATGTAGACCAATAAATGATGTTAAAAAATTGTATTTGCATATTAAATATTTCATATCCAATCGTGACGGATAATTAATTTGAAAATTGTGAAAATTCGTTAATATTTGGAAATACCTGCCTATGTTCCTCCGATTTCTTGTACATGATTCACCAAGGTAATTGTCATTCTCTATTTAATTGAATCATAAACAAATCTGATATATAATATCGCTGATTTCACGTTAATCTGTCGTTGCAACGTCACTTATGGAATCACTTGTACACTTTGTAATGACTGCTCCACACAGAATATTGCGATAATTTGTGCAACTAAAAAAAGAAAAAATGCATTCTATGCTTGAACTATCTTCTTTAAAATTGAAAATCGATGAGCATATTTATTTTAAATTTACTATCTTATATCCTTAACTTCATAAATGTCACTAAACCCAATTTAGAAGTTTCACCTGTGAACGTCAAAGCAAAAGTGAAAAGAAAATATTTGTAAGGATGTATTGGTGAATGTGCGCTCAGATCTGGTTGCCATATATTTTTCCATGAAAACGTTTATCAGGAAGCAATTTTCTTTGCTCAATTCAACTTTGTCAAACATATGGACGGACGCACAAACTAACTTTTCCAGTTATCGGTAGGATCTTCTCTTCTTATATCCCTGAATATGATGTGTATGTCTGGGATAAGAACGGCGGCAAACTACAGAGACATCTTTTATGATTCAATTGTTGTACATTTTTATTTGCCTGGTTTGGATAGAGCATATGTTACATGGCCACTGAATATACGAGCATATATAAAGATAGGCAAGGAATAGAATTTTACTTTAATCTTCTTTGTGTGCACATACAGAAATTTAAATTGAGCTGCAAATTCACAAATGTATCATATTTATATCTTTAACTACATTGTAGTAAATCCTTCCATTTTGCTTTGGCATAGCAATTTCCCTTTAAATTGGAAATTGGACTTCTTTGCAGATTATTTCTAAGTCGTACTTTTCATCCCAGTTGTATGGAAAATTATTTCACTCAAATCTTATTGTCCATCAAGTTAATTGTTGGGCTTTGATAGCTAACTAGGTAAACAAATGATTGCTTTTAGGTTCATCTAAGCCACCTGGAAATATAAACAAAACACGCGAATGACTTGTAAACAACATTGATAAGCCGAAAAGAAGTGTTCTATTTTACTTCGAAGCAAGTTTTCCTTTGGCGGTAAGATGTTTTTATTGCTATCTTGTTTCCAAGGAAACACATTAATTCGGATTTTGTTTTGACAACAAATTTTAGTAATTTCATTCTTCTCTTGGCATCCTCTGCATGCGAGGCTGTGGTATTAACAAAATTGTGCTTTGGTTTATTGGTAAAGAGTGTTGGCTTTTTTTCAACCGACTATAAACATCGTCATAGCCATATCAATACTTAAGAATGAACAACAATAATGGCCATGACAAGTAGGAAGATGATCCTGAATCAATGTTTGTTTTTACTCGAACAGAATTCAAAAATCCTTACAGTGTTTTGATTATGTATTTAATAGGAAACAAAAATGGTAACAGTTCCGGTGAATATCTCCATTCAACATTTTTATTTTTTTTTATTTTTGTGTTGATATTAAAAAATACTTTTCAATTTCAATCATTTTAGATTTAGGTTTACTAATAGTTTCCTACATCACATAATACCCTGAAGACCTCATATATTGGTAAGGCTTAAAACGAAGATATGATACCTAAATGACATGCTGGATATACAAGAATGTATTGCTATTCTGTTAGTTCGAATTTGAGTTACGACCTCCATACTTTTTCTCTTTGCCCAAAATATCTCTTCCTCACCCAATAACAATGTAGCACAAGTAGAAGTTTTAGTATCATTTTGTACACATTTTCCTAAAATACAACCTTATCACACATGCATACCAATATCAAAATTTGAAGATTTAACTTTGAGGTTTAAGATTTATTTATAATCCATTCATGAAAGCAAACATTTCCACAATCCAAAATTTCTTAATTAAAAAAAATGTGCGCCTAAACGAATAACTATAACTGTTTCTTCGATATTGCTATTCAACAATGTTAGTTCCAATGTGTAGTGAAGGACATAGTAGACATACTAAAACAAAAAAATGCTCTATGTACAAATTTCTTGAATTGAATACAATAAGTGTTTTCAGAAATTTCATAATACACTTCCAATTGTCGGAACCTCAACCTTTGCATGAATCAATTTAAATCAATATTTGATAGGCAAACAAAAATGGCATGCCTCGAAACCCCAAAATAAAAACACTTGACAAAAAAGATTCGAATGTTTGTCTTGTGTTATTTGTACAATTTCACAATTTATATACCTTATTGAGATATTTGTTTTTGCCTTTGATAGAGAAAGTTCATATAGAAATTTTTGGAAATCAATTTTTTGTATTGTTACCCAAAGAGCATTTGAAATCCAACAAACATCCTTTTTCTATTGAATTCTGTGAAGAAAAGACAAATTGACAAACTTTGTTCACAATTCATTGCAAATCATTTTTGCTTGAGCAAATTTATGCCAAACTTTAGTTATGCGAATGACAAAATTAATTAATCTTGAGGATATTGTGATTGATATTGGGGTTTCTCACATAAATAAACGATTCTGTATTCAACGACTCGCAAAAAATGATTGAATAAGATTTAATTGAAAATTAATTACGGACTATTAATATAATTTATTAAAAAAGGTTTCGTGATGCTAAATAAACAACAAGAAAAAATAAAAAAGGGTTGGGAATGTTGACATTTTTATGGACCATAATTAATGTATGATGAATGTGGTTCCAGCAAAACGACCTGAACACCATTTAAACAATTCTTATCCCAACTAATACATTAAAAGTGTTATTCTATCAACAACGCGTAACAAAAAAAACATTGTTTTGTAAATCAAATTAAATATGCATTTATTTATTTCAAATGAGGTTAATTGTTTAATCTTTAATCCATGTTGTCGACTCACTAATTACGAGCTTTTTTATTTTGTTTACATTGACAATGGCAAAATATTGCAACTAAAATGCATTAAAACTAGAAAAAAACTTAATAAAATTAATTATAAAGAGTTGTTTTTGTAAAACAGTTGAATGTTTTTTAAACATAATTTTAAAACCTCGCATTCTTTACCATTTAATTAATATTAATTTTATAACAAGGGGTTAGCCGCAACTCGTTGGTGTAAATGCAACACAATCAAACTGATGTTGATGTTGTTCTAAAATAACTATTTCCCATAATCATCGCCCAGAAGAAATTATTGAAGTTTGTGTTTCAATATTGCTTGGTATATTTATGACGAGACGGGGTTTGTGGAAATTCACGCTATAAGTGTACGGAAATTGTATCGAACAGTGCTACAAATGACATTGGTAGCATTGGTAATATTGGGGGATAACATAGGCCTATGAAATTTGGTTTGCTAAAACTGCAACAAATAGTGTACAAAATGTACAATACAATACCAACTATGATGTTGGTATTGGGTGAACGAAATCGAAATTAGGCATGAAGACGATTTCGGAAAACTATACTAAACTTTGGTACTTTTCTAATGGATGAATAGAAAAAGCTGAACGTCTGAAAATTGTCATTAGTTCATTTTCAGTGTGTGTAGGAGATGGTTATGAAATGAATTAAAATAGTGTTCGAATAGTACTAAATGTAGCTAAATTTAGTACAATATACAGTTGGTTAATTTATAGAGATATATTCTTAAAATTGAGAATGTTGGAAATTGTTTCTTCAGAATTTTGCCAAGGTTGAAGGAAATTCGTACTATAAATATACGAAAAGTTCAGTTTAGTATATCAGTCCCTAAAGGTTAGGGTTTTACATGATACCATTTTATTTCACCTTATTCTGTCGAAAAGGGTTATTACTTGGGAGAGAGTTTAGTTTAGGATTGCTTTTGAAAAACTTAAAATAAATGTGGTTTTATATGTGTATAAATGAAA